TAACACATGTTTGAAACATGGTTGGACATCTGGGAAGTGTTTGGCGGCATGGTTCATCTACATGAATCGACTTCCACAGTGCTAGAGCTACTGCCGGGCCTCAGGCGATGCGGTAGACTCCACAGGATTACGAAGAGCATGCCTGAGGCTACCAGCCTCGAACGTTTCCCTATCCCTAAGATTGACACGCCAAAAAGCGATGACAATCTTAGGGATGCACCCTCAGAAACAGAGGAAATCCCTAACATCGCCATCGTGATGAGGCGATGCCCAACATAGGGATAAGGATATGTTCCAGGCTGGTAATGAGGGACCAATATTGCCCGAGGAAGGCTTGCTGAGGTCCCCGTCGACTCACGGGCAGGGCCGACGTGCAGATGCCCTAGCTGCTGCGGCGCTTATGATCGCCTGGTCCATCGCGCCTCCCCCCACTGGGAGAGTGGCAGCCGCTCTGGCCCCGGCCGCGACGCGGAAGCGCCGCTGTCTTCGCGCCCCTGGGGGTGACCCAGACTATCGCACCGAGCGCGAGGAGGAGGAGGAGGAGGACGCTCTACACTCGTGCAGTGCTTTTGCATAGGCCGCCCAAGGCGGGCTATAGGGCGTGTTCCCAGACCCGACGCCGTGATTGCTTCAGAACGTCGACCCCAACAAGTTTCGACCCACTCCCTGGGACCAGCTCTTCCCGTCTCTTGACGGCCACGGGGCCACGCTGAGGGCCCCCAAAGGCCGAAAATAGCAAATAGCTTCCCGCCATATTCTTGTCACGAGGCGAGGGGGTCGTTGACGTCGTTGGCGTCGTCGGCGTCGTCGTCGTCGCTGTCGTCGTCGTCGCCGTCGTCGTCGGCGTCGTCGGCGCCGTCGTCGTCGGCGGCGTCGGCAGCGTCGTCGTCGGCGTCGTCGTCGTCGACGGCACCCGCAGCTCGACTGTGTCGCCCTGTGGTCCTCCGCTTCGTCTCATCAGACGCCCCCCCGCAGGCCTGTCGACCCAGGCCACGACGAGGAGGCGCTGCGCGCGTGCAGAGCTTCCGCATGAGGCTGCCTGGGGCACGGCGGCCCAGGAGGGGCCTGGTCGAGGCCGCCGCGCCGCGAGCGGCCCGGGGCGTGCGCGCGCGCCCGTCCTGCGGAGTCTTCGCCTTCGCGTGCTTGTCGGAGTGCGGCCCGTCCTGCTCGCGGGCCAGGTACTTCGACCTCGCGTGCTTCTCGGAGTGCGGCAGCTGGCGGAAGGCGATCCAGACCTCTGGCCGTGTGCCCCCAGAGAGGGAGGGGGCGGGGGGGGAGAGGGGAGGAGACGGGCGTGCGCGAAGAGCGCAAGCCTTCCTCGCTCATGCCTCCTCCTCCTCCTCCTGCTCCTGCTCCTGCTCCCCCTCCTGCTCCTGCTCCTCCTCCTCCTCCTCCTCCTCCTCCAGCTCCTCTTCCTCGTCCTCCTCCTCCTCCTCCTCCTCGTCCTCCTCCTCCTCCTGCTCCTCCTCCTCCTCCTCCTCCTCCTCCTCCTCCTCTTCCTCCTCCTCATCATCAGCATCATCCTCGTCATCCTCGTCATCCTCGTCATCCTCGCCTTCATCCACCCTCCGTCCTCCTCCCCCTCCCCTCCGTCCTCTCCTCTCCTCACTCCTCACTCTCTCTCCTTCTCCTCTCCCCTCTCTCCTCCGCTCTCCTACTCCAGCGAAGTGGTTGCCTGCATCTCTCACTGATGGGGGAAGGGCGGAGGGGAGGTGAACGCCGAGGCCGCTTGAAACGTTCAGCCCAACTGGGCCACCCAAACACGATACTGGAGGAGGAGGCGCAGACGGAGTAGGGAAATGGGGGAAGAGCGGGATAGCGAGGGAGGTAGGGGGCGGAGGGGACGGGAGGGCGCCGAGGGAAAGGGAACGGGGGAAGAGTCGAGTGAGAGGAGAGAGAGAGAGGAGGAAGGAGGACCGTCACGTGCCCCCTTTCGCCATGGACCGATGCAACTGGCCTGGCGGAGGGCCCACCCCATGCAGCTGCGTGCTGCGCGAGGGCGTGGTCCTCGCCGTAGACACACTGCACGCCGCTGTCGGGGGTGAAGCTGGGGGCAGAAAGGGGGCGGAGAGGGTGCGGGGTGGGGGGGGGCGCCGCGGAGCAGGGGCGCAGAGGTGCGCCGAGCTGCCCACGGGGGCACGATCCGCCCGAGGGGTGCACCGGACTGCTCAGGGCGACCTCCACTGTCTGAGCGTGCCTCCCTCCCGCGTCCCCTGCGGTCCGCCCTCCCCGCGTGCCGCCGCCGCTCTGCGGCCGCTTTGGAGCTCTCGCGGCCGCCGACCAGAAAAGGGCCGAGTGGCTGCTTCGGTCAGGAGAGGCAGATCGAGAAACCTGCTGCCCCTCAGGAAGGCTGGCCCAGTCGCGCGCTTCGAGGCCCAACTGGAGCAGCGGGACACGCGCACTGCAAGTCGTGGAGACGCGATAGAAACAATCGCACTGGGCCGAAATCCGCTGAGGACAACATGCGGGCACCTCCCACGGGGCCCTACGAGCAGGTGGAACTCTCTGCGGACCCCGACCTGTACAAGCGGTGTGCAGAAATAGCTGGGGGACCGCTGGGCGACCCTGCCAGGGCCGTAGGTGGAAGATGGGGACCCCCAACTCCACTGAGGGTCGGGAACAACGTGCACAACATGAAACACACATGAACGTCAAGTCAACGGATCTTACGCAAGGTGGCACGGCGACCTTCCGCAATGGCTTGCGTGGGCCACCAGCGCGGCATGCCACAAAAGAGACGATTGCGCTTACGCGCGACCTTACACGGGCAATTTACGCGCCAATGTCGGCACAGACGACTCCGTTTTTTTTTTGCGTCGCTTACATGGCGACATAAGGTAAAACATAAATTACACATAAAATGTCAGCCAGCGCACGTCCGTCACGGGATGCTCAGGCATTAATTATGTGAGGGGGCGTCAACTCGAACTCATCGTCGCCACAATATCCTACCGCTACTGCCATCTTCACAGCATCGAGGGTTGTCCACCGTACCATCGCCACGTGATAGGCTCGGCATCTCCATTGAACCACGGTGAACTAATATCATCACGTCTTCGTCTGCATGACAAGAGTACATTCCACTCTTGCCCGGTAGCATGAGACATAGAACAGGAAACCACCTCGCGGAAATACATGCTAGCAAGGGCTCTGAGAAACCGCCCATGAGTTGGGACTGCCTGTCGCAGTTCTGGCAGGACCTCTCGACGTGGGGAACACCACCACCGAGGCCGTAGGTGAGCCCCCCTGAAGGAAGGCAACTATGGAAGATGAACTCCGATGTGACGCCAGGATGGACGGTGAAGCTGGGGAATGCGAATTGACGACAGCACTTGTGATGGCGATGACAGAGAAGGACCTAACAACGGCCTGTGAGGAGTCGCCTCCCCGCTCTCTTGCAGTGCGCTTCACCAGATGAATAGCAGACCAGCCCACACACAAAGATCTTTGGACGACAGTGTTGACAGGAGAGAAAGGGGGGAGAGAGAATAAAGCGAAATCAAAAGAGAGAGAGAGAGAGAGAGAGGGCGAGGGAGGGAGAGAGAGAGAGAGAGAGAGGCAACGAGACACAGATCTATACATATACATCGAAAAAGGGAGAGAGAAATAGAGAGAGAGGGACTCAACATCCGCGCTGGCCCGGGTGGTGACACGCTCATCAGGGGCTCTGCTCAAAGGCACCCCGCGGAGCCGCAGCCGGGGCCAGCTGGCCCTGTTCTCGAGTGGCGGAGAGCACTTCGACCTGTCCATCCCTGGGGCTCGGCGGCTCTCTGCTGAAGGGCACCCCGCCACGCCGCAGCCAGGGCGGGCCGACCCTCGGCCTCGGGCTGGCGGAGAGCACTCCGACATGTCCGTCCTTAGCGGCTCGGCGGATCAGGCTAAACTTAGGTCGGGCGTGTCCCCCTACAGGCGGATTTCGAATGAAAAACAAAGAACAGCCGAACAAGTACTCAGAAATTGTGAAGAATAGCAGAAACATCGTCGCCCGACTACCTTTTGGACTACTTTTGCATATTCCTCCTGTAGAGAGACGTGCCCGACTTCATGCTACACCGAGGCACGGGCCAGAACGCAGCTGCCCACGTAGTCGATCAGCGCGTTGACGAGGCTGTCGCTGGCACCTCGCCGGGAGGCGCGGGGCGGCTGCCGCGAGAGCAGACGCTGCGCGCCTGGCCCCGGGGGCCGTGGACGGTGCGGGAGCGAGGGCCGGGAGAGCTCGGAGACGGGAGGACGGCACGGGGAGGAGGAGCGAAGGGGAGGAGGGAGGAGGGAGGAGGGCGGCACGGGGAGGAGGAGCGGAGGGGAGGAGGGAGGAGGGAGGCCCTGCTGCCAGTGGCAGCCCGACGCGCCTTGCCTCGGCCAGCGCAACGTCCGAGGACGACGACGCCTACGACGCCGACGACGGCGACAACGTCAGCGGCAGCGGCGGCGAACCTGTCGCTGGCGCCCGCGCCAGGCGCTGCCTCTGATATAATGGCATACGACTGGGGCTCAATCCCGCTCTCTCTCTCTCTCTCTCTGAATCGTACTCGGGCCCTGCTGTACTCTACCCTACTCCACTCTAAGCTACTCTACTCTTCTCTACTCTACTCTACTCTACCATAACCAACGAACCCTACTCTACTGTACCATACCGTACAACATAACACTTAACATACTCCAACCTACCCCACGTTGCTCCTACTCTACCCGACTCTACTCTACTCTACTGGATTCTTCTCTACTCGACTCCTACTCTATTCTACTCATCTACTCTTCTCTACTCGACTTCACTCTACTCGAATATGATTCATATTTTCCCTACTGCACGCTAATCTAACCTGATCTACTCTACCCTACTGTGTCTCACCACTCTACTCCTATTCTACTCTACTCTACGCCCACTCTACTCTGCACGTCGTCGTCGTCGTAGTCGTAGTCGTCGGCGTCGGCGTCGTTTGCTGGCGGCGGCGGCGTCGTTATCGTCGTCGTCGTCGTCGTCGTTGCCAGGAGGTGGGATTCTGGAACCCCCGAATGATTTTCCCGTGGGGAAAGGGGGGGGGACTTGGGCGGGGGGTGGGGGGGATCTGGACGCCCTCGATTACTGTTCCCGGGCGGGGAGGGTTCTGGAACCCTCCGAACCATTCTCCTGGGTGAGGTGGGTCTGGGACCTCCCCCCCATGGTTTGGGGGGAGGTGGGGGGGGGAACCCCGCCTGCCAGCAACGGCAGACAACGCCCGTCTCATCTATATAAATATATACACACATATACACACATACACCTATATATATATATATATATATATATATATATATATATAAAAAAAAAAAGGGGGCACGTCGCAGCCCGAGGGAGGTATGCGAGACCGGGCGTCCATGGCGAAGGAGAGCTCTGCCGGCCAGGAGGGGCCAAGAAGGCCCCTCAAGAGCAGGAGGGCGCCGAGGAGGGAGCAGGGAGGGGCAGGGCCGCAACCTCGCCAGGAACGGGCGGAAGAAGAGGAGGGGCGGCGGCAAAAGTGTGGCCACGCCGTGCGTCCGCTCACAGGCGCCCGGTCCAAGTCCGAGCATGCTGCGAAGAGTCCTACCAGAGTCTGGGCAGAGGGGAGGGGGGCGATCGGACATTCCGCTGCGAACCACCGCCGCCGGAGGATGAGGAGGGTGGCTGGTCTCGCGATCCGACCCAGGAGCCTGGGCCCCGCTCGACGATGCACGTGGTCATATGGCCGGGGTGGAGCGAGAAGCAGATAAAGTACTTCATGCTCCCCTTGCCCATCGTGATCAGCCCGGCATTGAGGAACTGGGACCCTTTAAAGAGAAGGATGAAGTTCACGAGCTGGAACTCGTCTGGCGGTCGTGGAAACACGATCATCGCGAGCACCACCGAATAGAACGCCACGCGCACCAACGCAAACGGCAGGAGGGTCAGCAACAACATGCAGAGGTACACGGGATCCTGACAGACCAGCTTTCACAAGACAATCGAAAGTATAGATTCGGAAGCAGCTCAAAATTGTTTGGCTCGAGGTGGACTGAACTCACTGACTGACTGACTGACTGACTGACTGACTGACTGACTGACTGACTGACAGGTGCCGCCCGCAGGCTACCGCTTCTCTGCCTCGGCCGCCGAGTGCGCAGCATTCGGTGCCACGAATAGCACGCCGTGCAACTAGTTATCGGCAGCCTGGTGCGCAACACAGGGGTCATCCATTAGCAGGCTAGTTTCAAATGTTGGACGACAACTAAAACATTATCCAAACATACTCCCAAATAGCCAAAAATTGTCAACAAATCGTCCCATACGATTTTGGACTATTTTTGAATATTCCTCCTGTAGAGGGACAGGCCCGACTTAAGGCTAGTTCACTATCGTCCGCCATCTACATAACCAATGACGCAACCAATCTCATACAACTGTCTGATCGGCCCGTCTTACCGGCTGCCGAGTGCGCAACCTATGGCGCAATCGATAGGCTGCCATTTTGAGCATCGTCTGCCAAGGACGCAACCTATGGCGCAATGCCTAGCAAACTATTTAATTGTCCGACGCCGAAGCCGCAACCTGGGGCGCAACCAACAGCACGCCGTGTAACGAGCGGCCGACGAGTGCGCAACCTGAGGCGCACGCCAAGAAATGCCGTCTGACTATCAGCCGCCGAGTGCGCAACCTATGGAAACCACCACGCCGATGTATGCTCGGCCGCCGAGTGCGCAACTATAGCGCAACCAACAACAAGCGAAGCCATTCTCGGCCGCCGTGTGAGCAGCTTATGGCGCAACCCATGTGCAGCATTACATGCGTTATGACCTGCCACCGAGTGCGCAACACACGGAGCACGTAATTGCAGGCCTGTTTATGATCGGCAGTAGGATGTACAACCTGTGGCGCGCGCAATCTCTGGCACCCCGCGGATCGAGCAAACTATGGCACAACCAAAGGCGCAACCCCAGGATGGGGCAGCCCACGGATTGCGCAACCCATGGGGCAACCCATGGATGGGGCAACCAATGGCGCAACGCTTTGTCCGCGCAGCCCACGGCGCAACTTATGGCGCAACACACGAATGGCGCAACCACGTCACGCACACCTGGCAAGTCATACGGGTTCTACGCCCGATGTATGCTCCTCGTCTGGGCTGGTAGGACCCAACCGTCGGGCTGTATTGTGATCATGTGCCCAGCCTCGAGATGCCAGAAGAACCGATGAGCACCAACTGTCGCAACCCTTCAAAACCGTGCGATCGAAAGCATATCCCGTGGGGCAAACGCCAACCGCGAATTTACAACTCACAATTCAGATCAGCTAGCCCCGCCCAGAAACACGAAGTGGAGCGTCCTCGGGTCCCTGCGAATGCTCCGTGCTGAATACTGCAGAAGCCTCTTGAAGGGGTCGAGGGCCTGGGACTGACGGGCGCTCTGGAGCACTCCGGGCGATACCCGAAGCGGCCCGCGCGACCTCTGGTCGAAGGCTCCGGGAGCGCAGCTGGGCTTCCAGCCTCCAGCCTGGCCCAAGATGGCCCTGGGGTGCCCGTCCTGGCGTCCCCCACGGGTGTCGTGGGCCGTCTTGGAGGCCCTGGGTGGGCCCAAGAGGCCCACATCATTGAGCACGCCCGAGGAGATGCACGGTACTGGAATACCTTGCAGGTGTCTCTGCCAAAAGGGCGCCCAGGACGGCGCAAGAATCCTCCAAGGTCGCTTCAAGCCGGCCCCCGAAGTCCCCCATACGGCCCAGGAGGCCAACAAGGCGGCCCCAAGAGGGGCCCAAGAGGGGGAAGACGAACTGACATTTCGAGCCCTCCTCCCCTCGAGTGGACCACAAGAGGCCCCCAGAGGCCCCCAAGAAACACACTCCAGGCCCCGAGAGGACCCTCGAAGAGGCCCCCGAGACCCCCAAGAGGCTTCCAAAAGACCCCCAAAAGGCCACCCGAGAGACCCCGAAAGGCCTCTATGAGGCCTCTTGCCCACAACGCAGGCGCGGTGGCGGGCCCGTAAAAGAGGTATCCCGTCGGCCTTCTCGCAGGAGGAGGCCTGGAGAGATGGCCACTAAGATGGCAAAGATGGCCTCCAAGACGGCTAAGATGGGTCCAAAACAATCCCAAGACGCCTCCAAGACGGCCAAGATGTTCCCAAGCCAGCCAAAGATGCCCTCCAGACTGCCCAAAGAGGCCCGCAAGACGCCCCACGAGGGCTCCAAGAGGACCTCCAGGAGGCAAACATACTTGATGTCCCTTTGGTTGTTTCAATGATTTGCCCCCGTAGGCCCCCAAGAGGCCCGCAAGACTGCCCAAGATGACCCAAGAGGCCCCCAAGACCGCCCAAAAGACAGCCCTCTAGACCCCCAAGACGGCCCTATAGCGCCCAACGAGCGACCCACGACTGCCCGGAGAGGGCCCCACGACGGCCTCCGAAAGCCAAAAGGTCCCTAAAAGGCCCGCAGAAGCACCCAAGAGGCCCCCAAGAGGCCAGAAGGTCGCCCCAGGAGATCCCCCAAAGCCCCCAAGAAGCCCCTCAGAGGCCACTAGGAGGCTCCCAGGAAACCCACATGAGGCCCCAAAAAGACCTCAAGAGGCCTCCGCTTCTTCTTACTCCTCCTCCTCCTCCTCCTCGTCCTACTTGTCCTTCCTCTTCTCCTCATTCTCTTCCTCTCCTAAATGTTGCCCCAAGGTGTTCCACAACGGCTGGAGGAACACGCAGTCCAATAGCTTGGCCAGGCGTTGGCCCAACGTTTGGCCGCATGGGTGTTTCCAAAACGGCGGGGGGCGGCGGTGATTCGCTGGAGGCTTCTGCGATCAGCCGCCCTCGTAGCCTGCGGAGCAGTGCTTGGCGTGCCAAACGTTTGTGCTATGTCCTGGCCCTTCCAAACCAATGGTCTTCAGCGCATCCCGACGGCCAACCGGGATAGACCCCACACGGTCTCACAGAAGGCCGAGACCGCCCAAGATTGCCTCCATTACGGCGATGATGGCCCTATACGGCCTCCACGGCGGTCCAATATCCCCTCCAAGATTCATCCCAGGATGGCTCCAAGACAGCCCTGGACGGCCCCAAACGGCCCCCAAGATGCCCAAAGACGCCCCTTTATGAGGCTCCCAAGAGGCCACCTCATCCTCCGCACCCTCCTCCTCCTCCTCCTCCTCCTCCTCCTCCTCCTCCTCCTCCTCCTGCCTCTCCACGTTTGGTCACACTGGCCATTCCAAAAAGGCAGGGGGCGGCGGTGGCTCGGCGCAGGCGCCTTGCTTGCCGCAGGCGCCTTCGATTTGAGATGCCCAGTGTAGAGATGAGCTCATGGGGTCCTTCAACTTTCCGAATATGGACTTGTCGTGTGGCAGGAAGTGGTACAGGATGAAAGCGCGGACCCTGTAGTAGCCTCAGAAGGCGGGGGAGGAGGAGAGGACGAGGGAAGGACGGCACGAAGCCTGCGGTGGCCTCGCGGGGAGTCCTCCGCCACGACGGCCGAGGACCAACGCTGCACCCGCGAGTCGGGTCCTCCTCCTCCTCCTCCTTCCCCTTCTCCTGAACCTCATTATCCTCCCGTCCCCCCCGCTCCCTGCTCCCACATCCGCTCGTTTTCGTCGTAGTTGTTTTCCTACTCATGCTTCCCGCCCCCGTGTCCTCTCAACTCATCCTGACAGGATGAGGACGAGGCGGTGGGAGGGAAATGGAGAAAAGAAGGGCCACCTCCCCTCATCCCTGCTCCATCCGTCCACATTCCTCCTCTCTCTCCCTCCTTGTACTCCTCACTTTCATCGCCCCCCTCCTCCTCATAATGCTCAAACTTATCTCCCCTCCTCCCTCGTACCCGTTTCTTCCTCCCCTTATACTCCCCTCTCTCGTCCCCCTCCTTCTTTTCATCCTCCACCTCATCCACATCAGATCCCCTATCCCCAACTGTTTCCAAACTCCCCCTGGTCCCCCTGCATATCCTCCTCATCGTCCTCATCGTCCTCCAGGGGGGCAGTGAGGAAGAGAAGAGCGAGGAGGAGCAAGGAGAGAGGGATTAGGATGTAAGAGGGAAGGAGGC